CTACTAACGACACAGGCGCAAAATGGCATAATTTATTAAAATGCACTCCTAACATTAGTTTGCATCTGAAAGGGAAACTCCTACAAATACATGTGCAATAAGGTCAGAGTGTTTGCATTAGTGTTGTACGATATACCAGTTAGAAGTTGGTGAAAGCTGGTAGTAGATCTGTCCCCTAATGTCTTTTATCTTCAGTTTATTTCATTAAGGCTGTATGTTGTAGTTATTGTGTTTCTGTTCATGTTCAGTGATTCTGCTTGTTATCATCAGCTGTTAATCACTTAATTATCACTGATTCAGTGTTGCTTCTAACACTCTGTAGTGTGCACACTGAGCAGTGTTCATTTCATCAACTCGTCTAGAAAAACCCATGTGGGGCCCTCATGGAAACTGAGGACTAAACTGTCTGGGCCCCAGGCCCCACACGGCTGTGCTGGCGAGAATGTGAAACACAGCTAGAGAAATGAACTAGAAACCAGATGTGCTGTCATTATAATCTGTAAACACGACTGCAGCTTACAAATAAATACATGTAAATGCATCCCATGTAAAATAAATATTACTGTCTTAGAAATATATACAGATGTGTAAAACAAGTACTAAAGTCACGTGATTCAGTAACTGTAATCTGATTTCAGCAATCTAATGTAAAACAGGTTACATCACTTTGTTTCTGTATGTCATCATATTACTGTAATGTGTTTCTGCAAACACTGATGATCAATATAACAGAGACACTGATGCAGTTAAACAGAGATCAGATCACAATTCAGCAGATACTTACAGCCGAGCCTTACTCTGCATCTAATAAACCATCTGTCATTTGTCATCATCAGTAACACTGGTAAAATGATAATGATGATGAATCCTGAAAACAGGAGAGGAGTTATATTAATGCTGGATATTATAATTCATCAGCAGGTTCACAGCAGATTACAGTAAATAATATACAGTACCGTAAATACAGTAAATCATAAATGAACATCAGTCTCGGTCCATAATGAGTGTTTTAAAGTGACATTAAAGTAATGAAGAATGTTCATTATTAAAGCATGTTGATCTGAACCCTGAGTAAAATGAACACAGAGGAGCTCAGATGATTATGAATATGAATATGAACTCACCTCCTCTGGCAGCTCCAAACGTGTAGAACAGGAGGATGAATTGTAAAGTAGGCAGAATATCAAAGGTCATATCAGCCACAAGGCCAAAGATTTCTATTATCCGTCCACGTTTCTGTCCAACCTCTGTAACTAAAACTGTAACAAACATTTTTGATAATTAAGATCTGATTTGATTCAGTTTTGAATCATTATAATGGCAGTTTATCATGACACAATTAACAACAACAAAAACAGAAGCATATGAACTGAATTAATCAATGTGACTGTGAGAGTTTTTATAAAAACATATATATTATCTTTATATTATAAACATATCAATAAATATAATGAAGTTATTCAGTAACCTTCAAAAAAGATTCTTCATTTTTCTAATAAAAACTATACAGTATTATATTTAATAAAAACATTGATATGTACTATTTCTACTAATACTCTGAAGTGCAATATCAGATCTGAAGAATAAAGTATGTTTGTGTTTGAATTATTAAACTAAAGTGATGAAGGGTGTTCAGATCAGTGTGAATCAGACGCAGTTTCAGTGATTCTCTGCTCACTTATGGGAATGAATCACACAGAAATACTTACCGTAAATGATTCTGCAGAGGCAGCACACAAACACTATTGCAAACAGCACTATTATGACAACTTTATTAAATACAGCATAATTTAGAAACCTTCCCCAAGCACTTGCGAAAAGAGCTGGAAGAAAAGAAGAGATAAAAAATTATCACACAGAAACACAATCAAACTGTAAATACTGTACATGACAGAAGAATACAACACACTCTTATCATTTAACTGTTTTTATGTAAATCATCTTGCTTTACTATGATTTGCACCGACAGTCTTTCTGTTATAATCTGAGCTTCAGTGTTTCTAATACTGACAATTACACAATCATATGGAGTAAATATGATGTTACTCTCGAGTGTGTTTGAGAGATTGTGGTGTGTGAATGTATCTCCTCGTGTCTGGATGAATGCTCTGCTGAGTCTAAAGTGCTTTAATGCTTTAATACACAGTACATGTGTGTGTCTACATGCATCTAGAGACGGGTCGTAACTCAACCAGAAACCAGATGTGCTGTCATTATCATCAATCAAGCTGCAGCTTACAAACAGATTCATGCTGAGGAATCATTTGTCTATAATTTCAGTTTTAAACTCAGGTGAGTTAAAGTGAACGTAGCACCATATATCCGTGTAACATTTAATGCAGATTGTGTTCATAATCCGCTGTAGATCAGGGTGTATTAATAAGATCATGCCGTGTGATTCAGTCCTGTAACACATGTAGGATCTGTCATAATAACACTCATCCTGTCATCTATCATGCTTCATGTTTCTGCATGTGTTATGATTTATGTCATACTGTTGTTTTAGATTTGCACCATTTTTCTCAACTTTTAATGTGCATTTTAATGTTTTTTTCTGATAATTAAAGTTGATTGACATTTGTATTTGTTTACCTGAATAAACAACAAGTGAGAGAACAGCATGTTCTGCAACATAACTGTATTTCACAATCCATGTTTCAATATTTTCTGTAACACAGAAAAGACAATAATTACAATCACAATATCATAAACAACCAACACAAGAAACACAAATGAAACACTGAACACTATTTCCTGTTTAGTTAAATCTTTCACACACAGATTATATAAAGTCCAAACATCTGGGTATTATGATTAATTCTCTCATCTCCACTGATAAACTCATCAACTGAATCATACCTGCAAACCTATTTTTAATATACGGAGCCGCCCAGAGCAACAGGAGAGGCCTCCGAAAATAAAGAGCACAACAACAAACCGACTCATTCACAGATCCTGTAACAAACCCAGATATTAATCATGAGAAGTCATTGATATTCACTGACACATTGATATACATAAGTTTGTGAACCCTTTGAAATTTCTGCATTGGTTAATTGGTCTGATCGCAGTTTAACAAACACCATAGGGCTGGACGATATGCCCAACATTGATATCACGATATATTTCTTAATTTCGGTCAAGATGTACATATAACCAGGTTAATAATAATAATGTCCTTGAATATGATACTTCCACAAACACATACATATTTATATGTAATTCAACTGCAAAACTAATGTGATTTTTGTTGTTTATTATTTTATTTATTTTTTCATCTGGCAGAAGAAGAGATCTCGAACTGAAACTGTTCAGAAGCCTCAAAGTGCAGAGCCCTCCGGGGAAAAGTCAAAGAAGTCTCTTGGCAGCCTTTCCAAAACCAGTGTGGCCTCTTCTGCTTTGCCTGTGCAACTTGAAGATGTCGTGGAGGCAGAGTTAAACAGTTACCTGTGAGCCCCGTCATTGACAGAGGGGACAGTCCCTTGGCTTGGTGGAAGGTGCACAAGATCAACTTTCCACGACTGTGCAAGATAGCCTGCAAGTATCTTTGTGTACCAGCAACAAGTGCCCCCTCAGAGCGTCTGTTTAGCACTGGATTGCACTCGCTCATCCTTAAAACCAGCAAAAGTGGATCTGCTGGTTCTCCTAGCAAAAACCCTGTGAGCTACTGAGAACCATACAGTAGGATAATAATAGCTGCCAGTGCCATAATCATTGTGCACTTTAGTCTGTGTGGCGTGTTGCTGTTGCTGACTGGAGATAATTGTTTATTATTTATATTAACATTCAGACAGTTTTTTTTCTTTTAAGATTTAATTAAAAAGTACAGTTTACATGTTTCTATTTCGTTTTACCTAAATATTTTCAAAGAGGTACAGGCAGATGTTTGTCCTCCTTTATTTTTCGGCACTGATCATTAAGATAATATACATTGTTATTTAAAATGAAACAAAGTGTGGTAAAGCCACAGATTATTTTTTATTTTTTATTTCTGCAATCTACACTTTAGTTTGTGCGATTTGTGACTGACTTTCATATTAAAGTTTAAACTGTCAGTGCTTTATGTTGTCATCATTATTTATGCATACATTATTTATACATTTATACATCATTTATGTTGTCATATTATCACATACTGGTAAAAAATGTATAGCCTGAATGCACTGTAAGTCGCTTTGGATAAAAGCGTCTGCTAAATGCATAAATTATCATTATTACATGTTTGCGAGGCTGGAAGTTCAACAAGTCAGTCAGTATACTAATGTGATTGTAGTTGTTAAATAAAAATGTTATTCATATCAATTCATGCATCACTTAATTTTATTGCAATATACAGGCCTGACCTACAGAAAAGAGCACTTTAATCTATCTAATAATGATTTATTGCTTGTCTTTGTTGAATAATACAGAACATAAAGAACTTTAAAAAATTGCATATTAAATCGCAATCGCAATATTAGTAAAAAAAAAAAAATCGCAATTTGATTATTTTCCAAAACCGTTCAGCCCTATTGATAAGCGCTCGGAACCATTGTTTCAAAAATGATTCGCAAAGGTTTTGAAGCTCCATGAAGCAGTGCTTCAAAACCGACCAAGGGCCCAGAATAAGGGAAGGCGCCGCTCGAGAGGCAGGTGTGGTTATAGAGAGTGCTAGAGGTGCTAAGCGCCCTCAAACTAAAGTTCTGCACGCTCACAAATCCTCTCATACTCTCAGAGGTGGAGTGGTGACACCTCTCTGGCAGCATGTTAGCTTATCACAAATATTACACTTAGCTTTTTCAGCTCTGATTTTGCAGTCTATCTATACTTCAGAGCATGTAGATTAGTGAGGAAGGTTCTGGCAGATCGTCAGGTCGGGTCCTCACAGATGACGTGTTAAAAAAGATCTGAACATGCACACACAGGAGTCGATAGACAGAATCTACATTTTTATTTTACAACAAGTACCCAATTCCTGACCTCAAGTATCCGATTTCAGAATTGGAATCAATTTTTGTCAATGTTTTACTCTGAAGGATCTGAGCTGCCATCTGAAGGTGCAGATGTTCAGTCTCAGTGTTTCTGATGGCTGTAAGTGACAGAAGTGAACATTTACTGACATCATGATCCTGAACTGTGATCTCGAGACTCGAGCATCAATCCACAGACGTGTTTAAAGTTAAAACTAACACTGATTTCTCTCCGTTGATCTTGAAGGAGTCTCAGTCTCATTTCTACTGCTGAAGTTGGTTTACAGCTAGAGTTAATTATAAAAGCAAATCACTATTACATGCATATCAAGAACAAGTGCAATGGCAGTTAAACATCCTGCATATATTTACAGCAAACGTGCATTAAATAACGGCCTCAATAACAAATGAAGAATGAGACTGAACTCTTAAATCACAGAGGAAAGCTCCTCACGAGTGTTTTTCTGGGACTGTTGATTATGTTTGTGAAACCACTGACTCCGGCTGGGTTTCCTCCGCCCCGTCACTCCTGCCGGTCTCCTGGTTTTGTTTTTCCAGCAGAGCTTTCATCTCATGTGATTCTGCTGGGTTCTGGTTCTGGTTCTGGTTTGATCCACTGGCTGAATCTGCTGCTGCATTCTGGGTTTAGAATAAGACAGATTTGAACATGTGTTTTCAGCAGCAGTGTTTCTCCTCATATAAACACTCAACAGTATTCAGTACAGTACAGCTGTGAGTGTTTGTGCCAGAGCAGATGATCAGGACGTGCTATCACAGATATTATACAGGTGTTACAGATTCAGCGATCAAATGAAGGAAACATGCAGAAGCTGCAGGACTGAGAAGCACTGATCTACACAACATCATCTCTGTGCTTTAGGAGAACAGTAATTCTGACACGAACCTGAGATTCCTGATGCTGTGATCCAGCGGCTGCAGCTCGACGAGACTTTATTGCCTTCTGTGTTCACGACAAGACAGTTCACTCACACACATCTTCACTAAACGTGCTTCTGCTTTTCAGACAGTTGTTTAAAGGTGCAGTTGGTAATTTTGTCCACATTTAAAAAGCTTTATATTTGAAGAGTATCTAGCAATTTCCCTGCAAATGTAATTGAGTAAAATTACAGGCATTTTATTTCAATAAAACTCAGGTGAAGTACAAATTCCCCAAAACAGTACTTCAGTAATGAAGCAGAATTAATTTACACATCTGTCCCTTTATTATTATTATTATAGAGTTTGTGGAATCAGTTCATCTCAGGTGACAAATAGAAATGTGAATAGAGCAGGTCTATTTCCACAGTGACTTCAGTAATCAGAAACGTTTGCTTGTGTCCAAACTGATGTGTGTCTGTATGAAGTATTTAAAGACTTCGAGAAACATCAAATCACCAAGAGCACCTTTAACTCACTGCAGGAGAATGCATCACATCTAGTTTCTGATACTAACCTGACAAGACTGCAGACATGGTGTGATCCCTGTGAGGAAAGAGATTTACAGGATCATTCAGATGCTGATCAAACACATCAGACTGAATAACAGACCAGTCCTGCTTTTAACAAAGAACACATCAAATAAACCCTCAGATGTCCAGTCTGGATACAAGTGAATGAATTTAACGGTGTTCAGTGAGTGATGAAGATGAAGAGCTTCAGTTCAGTTTAGAAATGACTGAACAAACAGCATCATTGAGTCACAATCAGTAGAAAAACAGTAGAAATATCTCTAGAAAATCGATCTAGCAAATGCTAAATAGTAGTAAAACTGATCATTTATTTCCTGAAAATCATGTTTTTAAATGAAAATAAAAATCCCAAAACACCTGAAGTGAATGTAATTCATGTTCAGTTATACTCACAGGGTTCAAATACCATTAAAACCATCAGAATGAAAGTGAAGAGGAATTCAGAGGAGAAGACGACGATCCTCATGTCTCCCATCGCACCTTCACCATTAACTGAAGATGAAAACAATCAGCAGTATTTTATCTATGACACTCGTATTCACCAGCCAACAGCATGAAGCACTGATTATTAAGCTGGGGACACACTACACGACTAGCTGAAACATTCTAAGACTGACCTATTTATACACAGAAACTGACTCTGGCGTGCACTCGATGTGCATATAATACTCACATTGTTGGCGTGCATATGATACGCACATACCCCACACCCCCAAACCTAACCATTGCGTATCATGTGCACGCCAAAGTCCAATTCTGACAGAAAATCATGCCATTGAAACACTTCCATGAGATCGAAATTTCCTTATCCATTTGACACAAAACTATATAATTAAACTGTGTATATAAAATAATTTTATTTCGTGTCTTACGAATTTTTTATGTACAATTAGTTTTGAATAACTATTCGTTGTTCGTAGCTATATTAGTTATGAAGAAATTTGTCATGAAGAATAGCTTATTTGTTATGAAATTGATTTAAATATTCTTTATAACAACTTTTAAGAAAAAGTTAAGTCAAGAAGAATTCTTAAAAATATCTTCACAATGAGAGAAATCTGACATAATTTAGGCTATTTTAATTTATTCAACTGCAGATAAAAAAAAAAAAATGAATAGTCTAAAACCATTTAACGTGCAATGTTAAGTTATGAAATAAAATAAAGACAAGAAATAAATCACAATAAAATGTGATCAAGAAAAATATTTGACATCTTCACTGCATAGCCGCATATACAATCGCTGGCGTCAGTCGCAAATATTAAACATGTTTAAAGTCTTTGTGAAAATGACTGGTTTTTGAATTCTAAGATTATAATCTTTAGACACCACACACTGTGATCTCTCTGCCGACTGCAAACAGAGACTGAGCCCAACTGGAACAGACCCGGTGCGACTGGACACGATCCGTCCTCAAGCCCAAATTACATTCATAATCGGCCTGACAGTCTATTATTAGTGTCCTATTATTGCTCCATATTAATGTATGCGAATGGAAATGAGAATAATCTGATCAGAGTAACTGAGATGAAGCTGATTTCTGCCTCACAGTGAAATATTACCCCTCACTCAGTTCAGATTCAAGTGCTGTATTAGTTTATAATATGACTGTAATTGTGTAGTGTGTGATGATCAAGTGTTCACTCACCTGTTTTCAGGATCAGTTCAGTTATCAGAGCAACAGAGTTCAGTAACACAACACCGACTGATCCAAACACATACACAGCAACAACACGAGGAAGATCTGCAAGATCAAATCATACAGTTTAATATCAGCAGAATTAGATCAAATTAAACCACATTAACAACCGCTACAGAGAAAAAGCACAGAATGAATGTATTTGATCTCCACATCTTTCTAAAGTTGAGTCTTGGTCTGTTTGGAGTTTGATTTGAGGCCTTAAATATCATCAGGACAGAACTGCTTCATGAAACTAATGAGAGCTAATAAATCATATATTCTGTAGAATAATAAGGTTTTTCATCATTCATTCATTGATAGAAGTTGAATAAAACATGACAACACAATATTCATGCACAAACACTCAAACTCCCTCATATTTCACAGACAGGTTTGTGCTTAATTGAGGAAACATTATTGTGAAATATCAGCTCGAGGAGCAGGATTTCATGAAAATCATCACAACAACAGAATTAAAGCTTTGCTGGGATAGAAAATTCTGAATAACTCAACTACACTGTAAAAACATCTGTGAAATTTTACAGTAAAAATAAAGTCAGCAGCTGTGATTTCCAGAACTTCATCTTAAAATATACAGCTGCAGCGTTTCAGGATTTATAGATTTAACTTAAATTACCAGCAAAAACCTGTATTTCATTAGCTGCTATAATGTTAATATCCCATCCTACTGAAGCACTCAAATCTGTTTTGCACATTTATAATACACTGACAAGTGATGAGAGAGTTACTGATGAAGCAAAGCTCATCACAAGCTGACGAGGAAAATACTCATATATAGAAGCTGCATCATTCACACGAATAATAAACACCATCAGGATAACACACACGACACTGAGATAATGCAATTAACATTCATTTAAAAACATAAGATGCCCAAAAAAGATTCGTTCATTTTGCTGAACGAGACTCAAAGGTCCGAGTCGGTAAAATGATCCGAACTTCCCATCACTAATGTGTTGTGACTTTCTAGCTCCACCACAACTGCTTCCTTTGTTCTGTTTTCCCGCCATTATCTGTTGTCATGGTGATTCATGTAACGAGCACAGCTGTCTTCATTTAGTTCATCATCTCTGTGTATTTAATCATGTTCCTCCGTTTGTTTCAGTGCTTGTCCGGTATTGTTTGTTTAGTTGCATGCTGTCTTGTTTCTGTGAGTTTATTCTAATTAAAGGCACGATATGTAATTTTCCGCCGCTAGAGGTCGCTTATTCAAAACAAAGGCGTAGCTTGATGACGCAGAGATTGAGTGGAATCATGGCAGTTGTTGTCTTGACCTCACAGCCGGTGGACAAGAAATCAGGAATCATGTTCATGGATGAGATTATTATTATTATTATTGTTGCTGCAGTATGAAGCGGAGCAGGGCCGAGTGCTGTGGGAGCTCATGAGTATGTGAGGTAAAGCAGCGCTGGTTTATTATATTAGATGCAACTGAGTGTTGAAAATGATGGTATAACGTAGGCCTGTCGCAATAATCAATGTACATCAGTGTACATGACCTCAATCATTTTTGGTGACGCAGCTTCTCGTACATAACGTGGTTTAGTTTGTTCTTTAATGCTTTACAAACAAAGTTTAATCTGCAGATATGGTCTTGTTTAGGGGTCTGTGCCTCTGTGCATACAGACATCTGACTGCTGAGTAGTGCTTGTGTTTTTCAGCAATCGTGTGCACCCTTAATTTACAGAGAAAAGAAGGTCAGGGAAAATCTCCAGGCAAGTTCTTTATGCATTTTTCTTTTTTTCTACTTGTTACTTTGCACTTTTTGTTAGAAAATGTGTATTTACTACTTATTCAAGTTTTTTTTAAGGTATCTAATATTTTGATACTTAATTTCCATGATCTAAATATTCTTAAATTAAAAGTTTGTTGTCATTTGGAAGTGTGTAGGCTTTCTTGCATTATTATGCGGTTACATTATGATTATATATTCAGTGGCATAAAATGCTCTTTAAAATGACTATCACAATTATTTCTGGGGCAATATATCGCACAACAAAGTTGTTATCATGACAGGCCTAGAATAACGTTGCTCTGTGCTCTCGCTCGGCGGCTGCTATCAGACACTTGCTGCACACTGCAGTAAAGCTACATCGATGTTACAATATCATATTAACACTAAATGATCCTTGGGGACAAATGTGGGCAAAAGCTTCTTTTTTTTTTTTTTTTTTTTTATAAAAATGGTTTCCTTGATCTGAGCGATACAAGACTTGGCTACTTTTTTCCTAAGTTTCCCTCCTGAACACACAACACAAGTTGGGCTTGACTCAACAATGTTGAAAAAAAAAATTGTCCTTCGTGGAATATATGCTTGTTCTTTAAGCATATTTTGGCATCTTTGTATATAGTCTCACCCAACACAAATGTTTTTTAAATTCTACAATTTTAACTTCAGAGGTTCAGTTTGTTACAACACTGGTTTAGATCTCAGTCTACATGCAGCCAGTGAGCACTGCAGCCATCTAGTGGCTAATATTGGTATTTCATCAAATTACTACTTTTATACCAACATGTGACACCAGATGTCGCCAAAATAAGCCACATTTTGAGGTTTGGGCTGTTTCTGCCTACTGGAATGAATATTTTTACTGAAGGAAGAAAAAAAATAAATAAATATACATAAGCCTATTTTACATGAAAGTCAATGGAGTAATTTTAGAGGTAAATAAGGTTAAAAATACCAAAAACACACAAGAAATGCATGAATTGAATGGTCTTATTTTAGTGAAGATAGTATTATGACATGTATTTATAATGATATTTAGGATCACACCTGAGAGATCGTGCCCAGATTTGTCCACGAAGGACTCATTAAGTGCTGCTCTGTGAAGGACGCTCGAGGGTTAATAAAGGCTTGTGTTGCTAAATAGCATGTAATTCATTTTAAAACATATTGTATGACGGAGAGAATGCTGTATTATTGTTACTAAAAATAGAGCTGCATCTGAGTATGCTGTTAGCCGCTCGATATAATGGTGCTTTCTCTGAGGCAGGGTAAAAACATGGTACTCGCGGTAAATCAAGAAAACCAGTGTTGAGCTATATAACAGATCTGTTTTCTGTCCATAAATGTATCCAAACAGTCGTTCCCTTGTCTAATATAACATATAATATATTAAAGCGTCTTTGGTAATAAAACCGAACTCGAGGGTGTGACGTCACATGCAGGCGACGCAAGGACACGCTCCGTCACACGGGTTAAAATTAGTTATTTCTCTGGATTTAAACATTCTGGGAAACATCTGGGATAATGCAAGTACACAAGTCATCAGAATATATAACACTGATCTAGCGTTTTATGGATATTTTAATCCAAAAATCTTACACCTTGTGCCTTTAATATCAACTTTATTCTAGTATTAAACCGTTTCCTTCATCTTTGGACTCATTCGTGACAGTTTGAAATAAATGCTATGCTTTTCAAAGATACTTTAATATTTAAAAGGTATGTTATGAAAAAAACCTATTTTCTTCTATTCTTCCACCGTCAATACTGGGAATAAACTGTAATTCATTAATCAGATCAGTATATGTTTATTAGTGTGTATGAATGAAGCAGTAAATAACTGGACATTCTCCACAGACTTTTCTTGATTGGATTTTAATACTGTTGAATAATGAATAATGTTTTCTTGCACTATTACTCGCAGATGAATGTGAATAGTTCATAAATGTGAACTCACCTCCTCTACCAGATCCAAAGGCGAAGAACAGGAGGATGAATTGAAGTGAAGGCAGAACATTAAAGCTTATATTAGCCAGAACCACGAATATAGTTATGATCCGCTGACTTAATTTACCAATCAATCTCACCAACACTGTAGAAGAAAACAACAACAGTTAATAAATCAATCCAAACATTTGATCTGACTCTGAATTAATATATTATATATTCAAAAATAAGTACAGAAGTAAAATAACTTCACTAATTCACAATTTGCCCCTTAACCTATACAAACATAAAATATCATATAATCTCAAAATCTTCAACACACAAGAAAAACTCACTGTTTACTCTGCCTCATGTTCAATTAATATTACACGCATTAAAAGCTTTATGAAGACATTAAGACAAAACACTGATCAGACTGTACATGAACATGATATTTCTGTCCTGTCTTTAGTGTTCGACCACATCACTGAACTTCTGTGAACATGTATTCTGGTTATTAATCTCTGGTCAGATCGAGGTAAATATGATGGAAATAATATCATTACAGGAGAACAAATGAACCATTCACTCTGCTGATTATTATGGTCTGTCTCGAGCTGTTTCTCTGAGGAGGGAACGATTACTAAAGCAGTGTTTGCTCAGTTTTCTGAAGGTAAGTAGTTGCACAAAATTAATTTCTCTTAATTTTAGACAGATTTTTAGTTGAATCTTTAGTTGTATGAGCTCAGTCATATCGAGTAGATCTGAATAAACAGAAAGACCTGTTAGTGTTTGATGTTCATTCATGTAGTTTCTGTAAGTACAGTTGCCATAAACTCTACTGGAGACCTCACAAACCTCAACATAACAGAAACTCTTCTGAATGTCAAACATAACTGAACATTAGACATTAACATATGTTTCCCTTCTCTTAAAAACACATAAAATAATATTTAATTTCAGCATCTGATCCAGCCCAGTGCAAAGCATGCTGGGAACTACAGATCCACTGCCCGCTTCAGTTAATGAAACAAAAACGATTACTGTAATCCCACACAAACTGATAAAGTGAACTTCTATTTTTCATATATTTAAGCGTATTGAATAAATGTCCTCTCGTTGCTAAAGCCTGTGCTGTATCTGACCCGCGTCAGTGAGCATTTGTGCATCAAATCTGATTGGTTGAGAACCGTGAGATATCGCCACAGGAACGCCCTTTCACCGTCTGTTCTCACCGCGGCCAGATCTGCTGGAATGTGCCGCTGGCTCTGATGTCTCTATAGAGGTTAAACATGAGATATAATTCGTGTTGGGTAAATCTGACGGGCAGTCTTTGGTCTCATTCATCTATTTTTTGTTCCAGAGCAAATAGTTTCGGCTGAAGGCAAAATCTCATCACGTTATATTTAATGTAGCTTTAATGCTGTATATTGGAGCATGGCTTTTATGATGGCTGTTGTTGTTGTTGTTTATTATTCAATAAATAATATTTTACATACATGGTAGTATTTAGTATTAGGAAACGGTGTGTGTGTGTTCGTGATGGTGATTTTTGTGACATTGTTCCGCCATTAGATGGCGACGTGACTGTTTTACGAGTCAGAATTTAAGACTTTTACATTGAAAGAGACTAAAACAGAAGTTATTTTTACTTGTAATAACAGCTTGTAAGACGCAGTTAACAAATGCAGTGAGCAGCGCTGTCATCGGATCACCCTTAACTGTGTGTGTGTGTGTGTGTGTGTGTGTGTGTGTGTGTGTGTGTGTGTATATATGTATGTGTGTATATAAGTGGTTGTGGTGGGCCGCCTGGACCAAAAAATGTCAGGGCCGATGTTTGGTCCCAGTCCAGCCCTGCCCCAAATCACAGTTTTTCATTGAAGCAAAATTCACCAATCAGCATGGAGCAGGTGTGCATGTTTCAAATGTGTTCATCCTGAGCTTGATTGGAAGTTGTATGTTGCATCAATGTGAAGCACTTAAGTTAAAACAGCATTCCTTTTAAGTAATATAAACCTGATTGAAGTAGGTTACAACAACAAAACTAGAATTTATAGGTAGAATCAGATAGAAATATCTCCTTAAAGCAACAACTGCACATGTTCACCTTTTACAGTGTGTGTGGAGCAACAATCTGTGTAACTGCAGAAATGATTTGTGTTTCTGATGCGGTAGTGTGTTGATTCAATCACTGTTTACTGTAATATTCAATTGATAGTGATAAATATCTCCATAATAAACCTCTGTAATTATGCACTGTAATAAATGATTGTTGCAATTAGTTATGGCAAATTAAAATGTAGTGTTTGTTGAGAAAATGAAAATATTCAAGTTGATTAAACTTAAAATTTTAAGGCAGCACAAACACTTACTTTTTTAAGTTGAAACAACACATTATTATTTATTCTAATGTTGAATATTAATATTAATAACACCTGCTGGAAGAACTTGATTCCCTCAAACTTAAATCTGTAGATCTGACCACTGATCGATAATAAGTTTTTTTTTTTTCTCCATGTACAAAAAAATAAAATACAAATTGTTCAACTTAAAAGAATGTGTAACCCCGTTGCCTTGAAATGTTAAATTGTACTAAGTGACAAACTCGAATAATAAAGAAGAGGTTGAACAGAATCACCATCACAAAGAGGACTATAATCATGACACCCTCAAATCCACCATAATTCAGACTCTTGTCCCAGGCAGATTTAAACAGAACTGGAAGAAAGAAGAGATAAAAACCAGCAGTTACTAAAACAGAAGAACAACATATAAACACAGATCACAAGAATTACATAAACCCTTCTCACTGAACAGATGCAACATTATTTACGACACATTCATTTGAACTGTTTCTGTCTGACACTGACCCTGTGACCTTTGTGCTGATTATATGACCCCTGACCCTCACATGACCCCAAAACATGTGATGTAGAAGTAGCTTTAGCTTCAGTCTCAGTCACTGTAACATGATGTCTGTTAATTAATGTGATTGTTTTTTATAATTAACCTTAGATTATAAGAGTGATCAATGTGTTCAGTCACACAGAGATTCAACGCTGGACACGAGTAGAATATGATATACCGACAACAATACCACAGCATCAGACACTTCCATTTATTAATGTCGTGCTATTTTTAAGATTTCCTGCAGGATATTGAGAATATTTAAATATAATTATTGTTCAAGTGTTAATGTGCATTTTAATGTGTTTATAATAATGACTGTTGATTTGCATTTGGATTTCTTTACCTGAATAAAAAACAGCTGAGAAAACCATATATTCTGTGTCAGAACTGTAATTTTGAACCCATGTTTTAATCTTGCCTGTAAAACAGAAAAGATGAAGTAATTACATCACAATATCCTTTACAACACCAACACAATAAAACACAAATGCCAACGAAACACTGAATCCTTTATAATGTAAATTCATTCAGGTACTGACAGATTATTTAGTTCATGTGAAAACAATCTAGTTATTATAATTCATGAAGCATATTTTCTCTCATAAACTGTCAGTAATGAATCACCTGTGAACTCATTAACATACGGAGCCGTCCAGAGCAACATGAGAGGCCTCAGAAAATAAAGAGCACAACAAGAGACCGACTCAAACAGAGATCCTGAAACAAAACCAGACATTAATAATTACTGTATTAATGAACAACTGTTGAATGGTTTATTATAATGAACTGATGATTAATCAGCAGTGAAACACTGACCTTCAGAAACACCCCAGAGGACAAACGCTAGAGACATCAGAACATTTGGACAGAAGACGAGAAACATCTGAAGACGGAAGACTGTGTCTGGAGAGAAAACACACAATAACTCACATTCAGTCACATGGTAAATTATGATTGAATAAACCCTTTAGTATAGGGACCAATTCTCACTGTTTACTAGCTGCTTATTAGCATGCATATTACTAGCATATAGGCTGTTTACTAGTACTTATAAAGCACATATTAATGCCTTATTCTGCATGATCATATTTTAGATCCCTTAACTAACTATTAATAAGCAGCAAATTAGGAGTTTATTGAGGCAAAAGTCATAGTTAATAGAGAATTTGTCCCCAAACTAAAGTTTGACTGTCCCACTTTATACTTAGTGTCTTAACACTCATGTGCTGTTCGGGGGCATTTTAGACCCAAATGATGTTTGCTAAAATGAAAAAGTTCCCTTCACCTAAATGACCTGAGACTTCATGACTTTTGTCAACACTTGCTAGCTCTACTGAGAGAAAACAAACATGGAATGATATCTGGTTGCGTGTTAGAGTGAAGAAAAAAAATATCTCACTCAGGATATTCAGTGTCTCTGGAGACCCCACATTGAAATTAATGTCAAATTGTCAAATAAAATCACTACATAAGCCACAAGCAGAACACAAAATAAATGAAACAAACAAAAAATTATAAATTTTTTAGTAAAAAAATAAATAAAAATAAAATATGAGTCATTTTAAATTGTTATAATAATGATTTATAATGTCTTAACATAAATCTAAATAAAAACCTTGAGAAAAGATGTATATTTTTTTAAGTAAATTTTACATTAAATGTTATTTTATAAAAACCTATTTATAAAAATTTTAAAAATACAATAAATCCTCCCAAAACTGCACAAATGTAGAGGAAAAGCATTAAATTACATTATTATAGGGCACGGTTATGACTCGTCTTTTTAGCACTTTTTATAAGCTCCTGGCATTATTTGGCTAAAATCCTGTGTATCATACATTTTATTCAAGGACACAATTTTAATTTGTCTTGCTAACACTTGGGGGTGAACTAAGGATTAAAATGCTGTTGAAAAAAAAGCCAGAACTCGGCACAAATCGGACATATATACACATTTGCACACATATAATGTATGTGTGCATACATTCTCTCTCTCTCTCTCTCTCTCTCTCTCTCTCTCTCTCTCTCTCTCTCACCCTCAATAAAGTTGATTCATTAATTGCTTGAGTGTTTTATTGCTGATACATTTCTAATACAACATTGAATAATGAGTCTTAAGACAAGTTAAAAGGGTTAACAAGGAGAACAGGACATGTAAAACACAGGTGTATTTCGACTAATTAACTAAATATCACAATAACGTCTGCTTTAATGGTTGCTCACACCTTCAAATTAGTCCTACATAATGCATAAATCAAGAATCACAACACTGTCCTACTGAGCTACTCTCTATAAAAACAAACTACTGCTGCTATGATGGACATTATACTCACATCCACATCATGTTCTATAGTTTCTGTAACACCACAATCACCATTTCCAAGCTTAAACACAACTGACAAACGTACACTTTTATCCATATGTCCCAATGCTAATTTACTGTAGACATCTCAACATTTTCCCTCTTTGTCCTCTACAATATATTGCTCCCTCACCACCACAGACTTCACAAACTACAAGACTAAAGATACATTTATAAATTCCTAAATCCATGATAATAATAATAATAATAATAATAATAATCAGTTTTTGTGCCAAGCAGGTGTCATTTACCAGCCTAAAACATTAAACTGTTTAATAAGCCATATGACAACATGGTGAAAGATGTATTTATGCCAGAATAATGTAGATTTTGATTGGATACACAGGCTTATCAACATTTGCATTTAATTTTAATTTATTATTATTATTATTATCATAATAATTGTCATTGGGTCATAATCTTGCAGTTGAAACCCACTGAATTGCAGCTGATAAGAATGTTTTCCTGTTATACACATACCTTTAGTAGGAGATCTGCAGTAGATCAGACAGCAGAGCAGGAGTGCAGATCCAGACGCAGAAATACAGAGTCAAACTACGCCTTTGTTTCTTTGTTTATTTTGAATATGCGCCCTCCAGCGGCTAAAATTACATATTGTGCCTTTAATGTAACCGTTTTAAAGAAAAAAGGATGTTTTGTTATAGCTTTTGGAGCAAGGGCGCCACCATCCTGCAGTACCACAGCGTGTGACGTCACAGGGTTGGTTCGCTCCATTGGCCAGTGCAGTAATATAAGCATTTCTTTAATTTTGGAACGCACGCTTGTTTTGAAATTGAGGAAGACGAACTTAAAAGGACTGTTGAGCCTATAATAAGTGCAATTGCTTATGCATTTGAGCCAATATGGCGAGGGGACTGAGCAGTAGGCTACTACTGTTACGGGTAGAAGAAGTTGTGAACCTGCTCGTTTGGGGTGAAGAACAGTTTGGAAACAATACGTGTTTACATGGATACTCGTCAAGACCGTGATTCTGACATAATTTTGAGTGCGTTTGGTCAAGAAGACGCGAGAGAGAACTCAATTTGGTTCTCGCATATGTTGTCTGAGCTGCGGCTTTTTGATTGCGTGCGTGCGCACAGAAACGGTCTATTACAGCGCGAGTACTAAACTGAAATCTCTTTCGCGCTGTCTCACGCTTGAATGGCTTAAAACACTTTAATGTTTAAACTGACAAGGCTTAAAACATTTCTTGGGGAAGCAGCACTAGCCCGATCATTCAGATAGCTGATTAGTTAAACACTGGAGTGTCTTGTTAACCACAGGTAACATTAAGAATCAGAATCAGAATCAGAAAGAGCTTTATTGCCAAGTATGCTTGTGCATACAAGAAATTTGTTTTAGTGACATAAGCTTCTAGTACACAGAGACAACAACAACACACAGACAATAAAAAATACGATGAGAATAAAAAATACACACATGTAAATATAAATAGACAAAAATTGAAAAATAAAATGAAAAATAAATAAATTGTATGTACACTTGTGCTATAGATGATAGAATGGAAAAGAATAGAATGAGATGCAGGGATGTACTAGGATGGAGGTAGTAACAAATAAATATAAGGTTATTGTACATTTTTATTGCATTATGTGGGGAACATTTAACTGTTCATAAGGTAGATTGCCTGGGGGAAGAAACTGTTCTTGTGCCTGGCTGTCCTGGTATTCGGTACTCTGTAGCGCCGGCCAGATGGCAAAAGTTCAAAAAGGAGATGGCTTGGATGTGATGGATCCAGAGTGATTTTCTGAGCCCTTTTCCTCACTCTGGATGTATACAGTTCTTGGAGGGTGGGTAGGGGAGCACCAATAATCCTTTCAGCAGTCCGAACCGTTCTCTGTAGTCTTCTGATGTCTGATTTTGTAGCTGAACCAAACCAGACAGTTATTGAAGTGCACAGGACAGACTCGATGGCGGAGTAGAACTATTTCAGCAGCTCTTGTGGCAGGTTAAACTTCCTCAGCTGGCTTTTGTTGGGCCTTTTTCACAATGGAGTCGATGTGAGTGTCCCACTTCAGGTCCTGGGAGATGATGGATCCCAGGAACTTGAATGTCTCCACTGCAGCCACAGTGCTGTCTATGATGGTGAGTGGGGGGGAGTGCAGGGGGGTTTCTCCTGAAGTCCACGATCATCTCCACTGTTTTGAGCGTGTTCAGCTCCAGATTGTTGAGACTGCACCAGACAGCCAGCTGCTCAACCTATTGTCTGTAAGCAGAATCGTTGCCGTCCTGGATGAGACCGATGACTGTAGTGTCATCCGCAAACTTCAGGAGCTTGACAGAGGGGTCTTTAGAGGTGCAGTTGTTGGTGTACAGGGAGAAGAGCAGTGGGGAGAAAACACAACCCCGAGGAGCTCCAGTGCTGATTATACAGGTGCTGGATGTGTATTTTCCCAGCCTGGTTAGTTTGGTCTGGAGGAGTGTTGGAATGATGGTGTTGAAGGCCGAACTAAAGTCCACAAACAAGATCCTCACATAAGTCCCTGATTTGTCCAGATGTTGCAGGATGAAGTGCAATCCCATGTTGACTGCATCATCCACGGACATGTTTGCTCGGTAAACAAACTGCAGGGGGTCCAGTAAGGGTCCAGTGATGTCCTTCAGATAAGCCAGAACCAGTTTTTCGAACGACTTCATGATAACAGACGTTAGTGCCACAGGTCTGTAGTCATTAAGACCTGTAATCTTGGGTTTCTTTGGGACGGGGATGATGGTGGAGCGTTTGAAGCAGGAAGGGACTTCACACAACTCCAGAGATCTACTGAAGATCTGTGAAAATATGGGGGTCAGCTGGTCAGCACAGGTTTTCAGACAGGCTGGTGTCACACCGTCTGGGCCTGGTGCCTTTCTTCTCTTGTTCTTTCTGAAGACCTAGCGCACATCATCCTCACTGATCTGAAGTGCAGGATTGGGGGAGAGGGGGGTTGCAGGAGGTGTGAATGGTTGTGTAGAGAGATGGTCAGAACGGATGTGGGGATTTCAAATCTACAATAAAACTCATTCAGTTCTTCAGCAAGTTGTTGATTTGCCTCAATGCTGGGGGATGGTGTCTTGTAGTTGGTGATGGCTTTCAGACCTTTCCACACTGAAGCTGAGTCATTGGAAGTGAACTGATCTTCCAACTTTTTAGCGTAGGTCCTTTTAGACACTCTAATCTCCTTATTCAGTGTGTTCCTGGCCTGATTGTACAAGACTCTGTACCCATTTCTGTAGGCATCCTCTTTGGCCTGATGAAGATGTCTGAGTTTTGCTGCAAACCATGGCTTATCATTGTTGAAAGTTAAATAAGTCCTGGTAGGAATGCATATATCCTCATAGAAACTAATATAGGATGTTACAGTCTCTGTGAGTTCGTCCAGATCGGTGGTAGCAGCTTCAAAAACACTCCAATCAGTGGAGTCGAAAAAGGGTTGTAAAACCCACTCTGTTTCGTTGGTCCATCTCTTTACAGTCTTTACTGCAGGTTTAGCAGATTTCAATTTTTGCCTTTAGGTCGGTATAAGATGAATCAGGCAGTGATCAGAGAGCCCCAAAGCTGGCCGTTGGACAGAGTGGTATGCATCCTTTATTGCTGCATAACAGTGATCCAGTATATTACTGTCTCTGTGGGACATGTAACATTGCAGCATGTAGTAAGCATATTGTATTCACAGGTGAACAAAAAATATCTTGCATACCACTACTGGTGAACGAGCCAGTTTAATGCAAATATGTCTGTGTAGCTGTCGCAGAAAGGGTTGTATTTTCTTTTAAGTATTTCAGTCATTTATTTTGTGAAAAGGTATTTAGTTCACATATGGTGTGTAATGTATTATGAATGTTCATTTGGAAATTGTTTTTGAGTATTATAAATACTGGGTAATAGTGACACCTACAGGTGAAATATGTGTAACGTTAGTTGAATTTGTCACGTGATCTAGCTAGCCATGTGAGTATCAGATCCACAAAGAAATGCACACATGCTAAGAGCTGTTCGATTGTAAGATTATTTGTTAGAAGGAATGTCTACATAAATGTATCCTAATGTCTCCTGGATTTCTAATTAGAAGGTGCACATGGTATGTTGTTTATTCTTTGGATTTCATCTGTTAATTTGCAAAGTTAATGTACTGTGTGTATTGATATTGGTTCAGTAAGAAACAGACTTGGTTAAATTGTGGTAAAAACAGAAACACACTCACACGTTACTCAGTTGAAGCGTGATTCTTTTAATCAGAAGAAAACCTTCAGGAGCCGTTACAGTCTGAAAGATCTGACGTATGCCAATAGCACGAGGATATCGTCACGTTCTCCCGAGACCAGTCGGATCTCGTCACTCCCCTAGTGGGGAGTGCAACCACACTTCTCTAGGATGCATGAAACTTGTTTCAAACATGTAGATACGATACTCCTATTTTAAACTCTTGGTAGCTTCAAAAGCACTTAAAATGAACAAAATCCCTTCTTCCAAATTTCCCTAAAACTGATTCAAACATAAAATCTTCTGAATAGACCGTTGAGATTAAGTTAATGTTCTTCAACTTGACCATTCTGTGTATTTTTGCCTATTAGACGGGTATGTCCGATGCAGTTGTTTTGATAGAGGTGAACAAGCTACATTTCTAGTTTCAACATTATTTGCTCTTCAGCTGTTTCTCTCTAAAGGAACAGTTGTGGCCTAATGATTATAGAGGCAAACTTATAACCCGAAGGCCATAGGTTCAATTCTCAGTACCAGCAGCAAATGTAGGAAGGGGAGTGAAGAACAGCACTCTCTTCCAAACCCCCTAAAAATGAAGATACCAAAAGAAGAGTTTAAAAAGGAAAGGACGTGACGTGTGGCCAAGTATGGTGTCCCATACTCGTAATTTGTGCTCTGCATTTCACCCATCCAAGTATTCTCATAGTAATCTCACAGCAGTAAGTAGTGAACACACACACACACACTGGGAACACACACCCGGAGCAGTGGGCAGCAATTTCCGGGGAGCAGTTGGGGGTTCAGTTCTTACTCAAGGGTCTCATCTCAGTCGAGGTATTGAGGGTGGAAGAGAGCGCCTTTACAAGTCTGACTCTTTAACCATTAGGCCACGACTGCCCTGAACCAAAATCTACAGAACCAAAGTAAGAACCAAAATCTAAAAGGATATTAGGATTAGTGGTTGACTGATATATCGCCAAGGCCAATATATCGACCGATATCTGCCATTTTTCAAATATCGGCATTGGCCGATAAGTTTTTCTGTTTGGCCGATGTGTTCGAGGTGAGACTTTTATTTTGACAGCGCACAGTGCTCACATTCTCCCTCTTGTTCGCTGTTGTCATTCAGTTCTGTCTAATATGGATAGAAGTCTGTCTAATGATCAGATAGAACTGTTAAACAAAGGAATTAAAATGTATACAAAAAAGTATTATAACGATTGCTTTAATATTATTAAAGGCTAATTATAATACTTTCTCGTTTGCCGTCAGCATTCCGCAAATACGCATTTATATAATTTAAACAAATCTTTGAATGACTAATGAACATTTAATTTCACAAACCTTGCAGACTTAGTCGAATCTAGTTGAGATCTTGTGAAGTGTGCATGTGACCTGCATAATCGTGTGTTCTCTGACGGTCGGTCATATGGTCCGTGTGAATTGAATACGGACAGGAGGAGAGTTCAGCTTCACTGGAGATGCGCGATCGACAAACTTTAAACTCGTGACTGATTTCAAATTATGCTGCGCTGTATGCATTTGCCCACTGTCATATTCATGTCATTTTCACTCTGTGCTGTATGTAAAATGAGTGTTACCTTGACTTTATTTGAAAAAATATGATTCCCAATGCACACAAACTTCCCAGAATACTGAGTGCCCTGTTGGTTACAGTGTTTTTAATTATATTTTAATTATATATTTATTTATTTGTGAAAAATACTTTGTCTTCTAGAGTATAAGTATGTTTATTTTACACGTTTATTTTTTAATTCATTTTCAAATGATTTCAAATTTCTTAAATATTAATTAAAAGGAACAAATTATATCGGCTTTATATCGGCCACCCTGCTTTCCAAGATATCGGCATCGGTATCGGCTGTCAAAAAACACATATCGGTCGACCACTAATTAGGATATATTTCATATTTCTTGAGTTACAGGCATGCAAACTTTAGCGGGAAAAAAATATATATATATTGTAAGGAGGACAAGAGAGCTCTCTCGGCCACCATACTATTGGCATATAATGCAAAGATTGCTAAAGGCAACAGATTTTACTAAAGGCAACAGACCTTCTAATCTCTGTGTAAAAATAAAATAATGATGCTGCCATCTTTTTGCCAAATTTAGTTGATTAGACACGGCATGACCCTGCGGCCATTAAACGTTCCACTTTACAAAGTATGACACGCCTGTTACTCACCCAGTTGCTCCAGTACTACAGTTGCATTGGCTGAAAGTCCTCCAGCAAACACCTCACACATGTAAACTCCTTTATCCTCAGTTCTGATGCTCTTCAGTCTGAGAGAGAAGTTTCCTTTGGGGATTTCAGCAGTGAAGAGCTCAACTCTGTCTATGTATCGCTCATTTGATGAATGTGCCTCATTGTTTTGGTAGAGCAGAACCTGAATATCTTCATCTGTTTTCTTCCATGAAACCTCCTCAAAGTCTTCAGGTGGGATGTGAGAGTCTACAGAGCAGTTCAGAGTGACGTCTTCACCCACAGACGCAGATATGGAGCGACTCGATCCTGATACTAGCAAACGCTCTGAAAAAAACAAACAGTGTAAATACACATTCGGTAATTAGTTTCTGTAAAATCATAATGAAAATAATGGAAGGAGCTCATGTGTTCAATACTCACCAGCATTAACTTTTATTTGAACCACAGTCTCACCAGACTCTTGCTGACTGTGAACTTTACATTTATACTGTCCCTCATCTTCAGCTCTCAGATCGTCCAGCCGGAGGGAGAAGTTTCCATGTTGAATCTGATCAGTGAAGAAATGAGCTCTATCCTGATAATCCTGGTGCTGGGCCTCTGCTCGACTCTCACCGTCCTGATACAGATGAACCAGAGTCTCTGAGTCTGTTCTTCTCCATTCCACCTCCAGATCCTCCACTGATAAAAGTTCATCAACAGAACAGGGCAAAACCACGGAGGATCCCAGAGGAGCAACCAGAGGACCAGAGGGACCTTTTACAATCAAACCTGTGACAGAGAAATCAAATAAAGCTTGTTGTAGTTTCTCAGTGCATACATGGATAAATACTAACACAGAGCATCATTACTGACATGAACAAGTATTTATGTACAGCAGGTGCATTCAGCGGTGTCGCTAGGACATTTGTTTTACAATCATCAAACTGTGATTATAGAGGAGAGGGAAGAAACTAACGTAATGTGTAGTTTTTCATAGTGTGTGTGTGTGTGTGTGCGTGTGTCAGTGTGTGCGTGTGTCAGCGTGTGCGTGTGTGTCAGTGTGTGTGTGTGCGTGTGTGTGCGCGTGTGCGTGTGCGTGTGTGAGTTGACACAAATTTGTATAATAACATGGGTATGACATTATTATTACAACGAGAAGGTGATTTATGAGGACATTTTCAGTGTCCCCGTAATTCAAAAGGCTTATAAATAATTCAGAATGAGTTTTTTTGAAAATCTAAAAATGTAGAAAGTTTCCTGTGAGGGGTAGGTTTAGGTGTAGGGTTGGTGTAGGGCAATAGAAAATACGGTTTGTACAGTATAAAAACCATTACACCTATGGAGAGTCCTCATAAACCATAAAAACAAACCTGTGTGTGTGTGTAAACATGTTTATCTATCCCGGTGGGGACTTAAACCTAAATACACACCAACTCATGGGGACTCGTGTCACTGTGGGGACCTAAATTGAGGTCCCCATGGGTACAGAAGCTTATAAATCATACAGAATGAGTTTTTTTGAGATTGTAAAAATGCAGAAAGTTTTCTGTGAGGGGTAGGTTTAGGTGTAGGGTGATAGAAAATACGGTTTGTACAGTATAAAAACCAGAGAGATGTTTCTTTGTGTTCATCTCATCCACTACCTCAAACATTGTTCTTTTAAATGTAAAATGTATATAAAACTGGATTCAGTCCTGAATGGTTTTAATTCAAATGCTCCATGGGTGTGTCTTCAAATTTACAAATCCCTGATTATCTGTCTCACATTAAGTTCTGTTTTTTGCTTTTGCACTTCACAAGCAAACGGTGTTTATGAATAATTAACAAAAAATTATTTCACTTTCATTGTTTTAGAAAAACAGGTTGTAAACACTGGGTCAAATCAGGTAACCAGGAAATATGACCTGATTAAAAAATATATGTCAATGTAGGACACAGACTGACACACCTCAACATGACAACAGCTGACATGAATGTTACCAAACCAATGTTAATCAAAAGTAAAACAGTATTTGAGCTGCTTCTTGGTCTTCCAGCTCTGCTCACTCTGGACATTCAACTTCATGTGGTGCAGCACATCCATAAAAATAAAAAATCCTAAAAATACTTGATTAAAATTTTATTTTTATAAACCAGTTCTACTTTACTGTGGAGTTTTGTTGAACTGAAGTTAATCCAGATAAACCAGTTATGATTAAGCTGGAAAGACATCACTATGAAACAATGAAACGGCACCTCATTCTGAGAAGATGAAGAACTGAGGATGAGTTTCTCTCTAAATTAAAATACTCTTGTAGTAGCAAAGAGATTTGGTTGTGGAAGCAGATCTGTGCCGATCAAAACTTGTTTTGTACACTTCAGTAAACATACGGAAGACTATTCACTTTACAATCTTTAATTTTTCACTCTTTTCAGATATATTGCATTATGAAGACATATTTTTCTTAATCTGTCGGCTATAGAGGCACTGGTCTGATCCGAATATGTTCATTTATTTTTGCAGCCATTTGTCAGCGACTGTAAGTGGCCATTTTATCGTCTCATACAAGACCTTACAAAGCCTTATGATGCAGCACGACGAAGGGCAGCCAGGATTCAGGGGCCTTGAAGCCAAAATATAGTTCAGAAATGAAAATAAAGAAAGAATTTACCATTGAGAATAGTTTTGTTGAACACACAGAGAGAGAGAGATGACCACACACAGAGAGAGAGAGAGAGAGAGAGAGAGAGAGAGAGAGAGAGAGAGAGAGAGAATATAATCATATAATAATAGCCTACATACCATCGGCGATCATCAGCAGCACTGACATCAAAACACAGCTCGTTCGGCGCATCTTCAAACGCTAAATTAAACCAAAACGACCATGTCCTTTAGCTATAGATTAGCACAAATATAGATGTTTCGCTGACGGAAGCTCGTGGTCGTGAAATGTCCGCGGATCAATTTTACTTTCACTTGTATTCTTTACTTTCGATTTCAATGTTCGTCCGGCTGCATCGAGTCAGCTGATCAGGAAGTCTTCTTACTGAAATATAGGCAGTGCAATGAACACATACTCATATGATCAATCCCAGAGAAAGTAATCATGTCTCTATAACAGAGCATCACCAAACTACAGGTTTTCCACTGTGGTCAAGCCGGCCGCTGTTTGAAAATACACGCTCAATACAGATTAAAAAAGAGTTTGTGCGCCTATATTTCTATGATTACGATCATTTCAGAAACAACAGAGAGAGAAGGCGCTTTCAGAGCGCTTTTCCTTGACCTGCCCAGCATTGTGAACATGGGCTGCAGCCCAGGGCCCCGAGGGGCCCCCGAGTCAATTCTCTTTTGCATTTTTATAGGGTTGCCAACCGTTCCGTATATTACGCAATCGCCTTGTGTGCAGTGAGGGGCTACTGCGTATTTAAAGCATCAATGTGTCCCGTATTTGCAGGCATACACCGTATCAGATTCAGAATCAGAATCAGAATCAGAATGAGCTTTATTGCCAGGACTGTTTACACAAACAACAGAATGACAGTGACAGAACAAAAAAAACACAGATAATAAAAAATAAATAGTCAAATAAGGAATAAAAAATATACAAATCGGCAATTGTATGTACAGGTATATAACAATAGACCACCTAGACCATACAAATAACAAATAAGTTATTATTTTTCCAAAGCATTGATTGAATTGCTCAAGGAAGTCTTTAAGACCAAGCGGAATCCTCTGCCGCCTAGTCGCTCCCGTTTAACAGCGAGCGGGACTCGTGTTTTGATTTCTGCAAATCAGTTTAGTTGAATGCAAAGACTATTATGGATCGTAAGCACAACATCCAGCTAGAAAACATACTATCTACCTTTTACTATTTGCAATAGTTGGACCGAGGCTATGGAATAAACTTCCTTTATCTGTGAAAGCTTCAAATTCTGTCTATGAGTTTAAAACTACATTTAAATCTTATTTTCTTATTGGCTTTTTAAATTGTGTATGTTAAATTATCTTTTGAGTTTACTGATGTTAATCTTTTTACTGGTTTTTATTTTATTTGTACAGCACTATGGTCAACTGCTGTTGTGTTTATCGGTGCTTAATAAATACAAATACCTGAGGGAAGATGTCTTTCACTATTGTAAGTTAATGTTGTTAAATAGAGAAACAAAATTATATATTTTTAAAATGTCTATAACTTCTAGCGCATTAAAAGAAGAGCAGGAAGAAGCCCTTTTAGTGGTGAGTGATGTTTAATTTTATTTGCTGGGCTGTTGCTGATTTGTAAGATTATTAGGCTATACTCGATAATATTGTTTAATTTACGTACATAATGTTTTACCTCCTATGGGATTATGACATGCGCATTTAGTTTTTATTTCACGAGTATATAATAGTGTGCATCTTTATACAGTGTTTGATCGCATTTTTTATTTTGATTGGAGTGTAACGGAAAGGGGGGAGGGGGGGCTAGCCCAGGGCCCCGCAAAGGCTTAAAGGGGTCATATGATGTTGCTAAAAAGAACATTATTTTGTGTATTTGGTGTAATGAAATGTGTTTATGCTGTTTAAGGTTAAAAAAACACATTATTTTCCACATACTGTACATTATTGTTTCTCCTCTATGCCCCGCCTTTTTGAAACGCATCGATTTTTACAAAGCTCATCGGTCTGAAAAG